TCCCCCCCCCCCCCCCCCCCCCAGATTCTTCAGGCCCGACGAGCAGGTGCCGTTCGCGGACGTCGCCGCACTGGTCCGGCTGGGCCACAAGTACGAGATCTGGGACGTCCTGGACGACGCGATGGCGCGGATGAAGTCGTGCTTCAGCGGGGACATGGACGCGTGGGCGCACGCGCACGCGGCGCGCGGCTCGGCGGCGATGAGCTTCGAGCCCGCGGACGCGGTGCAGGCGGTGCAGCTCGCGCGGCTCACGCAGACCGACTCGATGCTCGTCGTCGCGCTGTTCATGTGCTGCCAGCTGCCCGCGCGCCAGATCCTGCTCGGCGGCGGCCAGGCGGGGCGGCTGGCGGCGGAGGACGCCGCGGCGTGTGTGGACGGGCGGATGCGCCTGCTGAACGACGGCATCGCGGCGACGTACCGCGTGTTCAACGCCGGACGCAGCCCGCTCTGCGCGGACGCGAAGCACTGCGTGCGCTTCCCCAGGGCGGTGCTCGCGAGCAGGATCGATGTGGACCGGGCTTGTGATGGGGCGCTCATGCCGGTGCTTGACGGGTGGGACGAGCTCGTCGACGGCGCTCTGGTGGACGGCAAGTTGTGCAAGGCGTGTGGATTGCATTACAAACGCAAAGGGCTGCAGGAGCGCAGAGCGTTCTGGCGGCGGCTTCCGCGCTACATGGGAGTGCAGGCGTCGGTTTGGGTCTCGTTTGACTGGGAGGGAGACGATGACAAGTGACGAAGCCAGCCATGCTGCATCTACTCGTATCTCGACGGAATTGGGCCTGGCGGGTTCAATATTCGAGGTGTTTGAAACCCTTGTATCTCACACTGGCAGGCACATCTACCCATATATCGGGACATTCCAACTACTCATCTAGTGGCGGCTTAGAAAACGAATTTGCTGTAATGCTTACTGTACACTATTCATCTGAAAAAAGTCATGACGCATCGTCGTACTTGATCTTGTGTACCGTTATTCGGTGCATCGCGATCTGCCGTAACCATACTTTGCATTGCGCAGACACGCATCGTTGAGTAAATCCAAGCCCAAACTATCTCTTGTACACCTGGAAAGTATCGTTCTACTACGTCTGTGACTATGGATTACTAGTAGTCGGTGGGGACATGACGCTGTGCGAAGGCGCTTATGTAGACTCACAAGCATTGGACCTCTTCATAACACTCGTAACCTTATCCATGATGTCGAGAAGAACAGGCGGGATGCACGTCCATACTTATCAGTGGGTAGTACCGAGATCAACACCGACGAGAGCTGATAGAAAGAGGGTCGTGGATGGGGACAACATACATGATAGCGCCGCTCTCGCCGGGGGCTTTCCACAGCGGCCGAGTCATTCCGCGGAAGTTGTAATCAGGTCAACTAAATATACAGCATCTTCTCCACTTAGGAATCTTCTCTTGTCCCCGCCGACAGTACAGATCCCCGGCTTTAACGTCTGCATTGCTTGCGTCCGTAGCATACCATGTTACGTCGGCCTCGCTCCAACGTATATGAAATATATGACAGGAATCATGGAGTATAGAGGAAGACCCTTATCCCACGATACACGGTCCGAGGTCTGTACTCCTTCGCGACCAGAATCCGGCCACGCATTCGATGACATGACAGCAGGAACTCGGTACATTTGTGGTAGCGCGATGGATGATTCCTCTGATTCCACCCCAGGCATCCGGGGCATGTCCTGGGGAAACAGCACTAGAAGGCAGTGAAAAGCGACGAATCGTGGGCATGAAGTTGCCGAAATGAATGACACAGAAGATGTGCCCAGGCACAAGAATAGTATTCGCCTGCTTACCGTATACGTACAAAACGTGCCGAATTTGCGCTTACCCCAGTCTGATGCGGAGAAGGCGAGATGAAAGACAATAGACGAATCCGAGTCTGGCTGTCCAAGTGCCATATAGTCTACCAGCCCACTTGGAGAGCCGTACAGAATGGTGAGGAGACTGTGGACCTCAATGTACAATCTCAGGCTCCCGGTGGGGACCTACACAATAATCAATCAGACGAATAAGTCGAGATCGAACAATCCAGACTTTCCTTCAAAGGTAAGATCGTCTTTTCCTCGAGAGTCGTCAGCCAGTCCAGAAGCCTGTCGGTTTAGGAACAGATAGCGACTACCCACGAGTGGGTTCGCGCGGGCCGATGTGCAAGTCTTACGCTTCAAAAGGTGGTTCGCGGTCAATATCTTATGTATGAAAATAGCGGGATGCTGTGAGGCGGGGGCAGTCGACCTTGAGAGGCTCTTCGGCCATCCGGTCTTCCGCGGTCATCCGGATACCTAACCTGTTGCCCGTACCCGCTCCCACAGAAAAGCTCTCTCCCTTGTGTCTTGGCCAATAGAATTGCATTTCAGTATGTGACGTAGTCTTTAGGGAGCAATCGCCAGTATCTTTAGAAGGCGAATGTGTGAGATGGAGCCTGCGCACGGAAGCAATACCAACGTACATCATCTGTGATACCGTGTTTGAATGAACTTGTTCATCGATGGGCTCTAAGCAGTGGCATCTGTCGCAGGGGATATTATTAATGACAGGGCTGAGAAACGAACGCTCAGCTTCTTTGTGAGATGATACCAAGGTGCAACGAACCCTTTCCTGCTTGCGGCGATAGCCAAACCGTGTCGACCCGAAATACGACGAGTGTAACTGCGCTGGAGAAACATTGTGGTCCGATAAACATCCAGGTGCGTCAACCGCTCCCGTATCGAGTGTGTTGGATGATGCTCAGCTCATAGACTACGTCCCAAGACAAAGACATTGTTGTCTCTACGGTGACACGGAGGAGCTATGGATGCGAACAAAGTGCAGGGTGACTGAAGCCGCCAATCGTCTTGACTGTAGTAATGTGACTGGGTCCTTCGAAGGACCCGGCCACATTTGGACCAGTAGTGCTCGCTAGAAGCGCCCGTTCACAACTTATCCCCCCGTTCCAGTCTCGGCCTACAGCGCCGTATGAAGTTTAGGTAACTGCAGAACTGCCTTGAGGACGACACTTAATTGAACCCTCAAATATGTGCACCAGGCTTATTGCATGCACGGTGAACCATCGCAGGGAAATACACCCAACTCCTCACGGAGTCGGTGTATGAAGGCTTTAGATCTCAAATCGAGTTTTCTTCAAGTTCCTCTGTATATTCCACATCCGCTTCAGCATTTTCATCAAGAACAGCTGGCTGTATGAGAAACCTCACGACACTACAAAATCTCAAGCTGAGAACGCCAAGACCCTTTATCAACGTTGCGGCTGAAGCAGTAGAAGCAAACGGCAGATCCAGGCTCGTCGAGTGTCGCATTGTCTGGTATCTTATCCTATACCATTTCACTACGGTGGGCCTTACCAACGTCTTGGAGGAAATTGAATTCTGTCGTCGCAAACTTGATTGGATGCAGGCGCCGTGCGACATTCGGCGGGTGGTATATCAGATACTTCATCCTCGAGTCTCTAAGTTTCATCTTTTGCATCACCTAACAGAGCTCATGCCACTATATCTTAGAAGAGAATGGGTGTTATCCCCTTTCCCTGACTCCTCGAGGACGACGTTCGGTAAACTACAGGGAGTCACCAGAGAACTTGATCTCCAGTAGAGTCCGCAACATTACGTGGCAGCTAAAGCTCAGGTACGCATTCTAATGGGACTGCTCAGGCGCATTGCACAATCCAACGTCTGTCGCTCTGAACAGGCCCTCTACAGAGATAATCATCGCTCCCCCGACGTGCATGTTGACCTGCGACTCCGCGAGTTGAAGCATTTTCGTGCGCTACACCGGGATGGCCACCCATCATGCGTCACCAGCCCGGCTAACGCGGAGTTTCCATATATTCCCGAACTCGCTAGATCATTTAGAGGTCAAAGGTCCCGCGCGCAAAAGCAAGTTCTTTATATTGTGTTTACTTGCGCCATTGGCAGCAGATTTGCACAGAAAGAAATAGTAGAGACAGTATGGGACATCATGGGCCGGTTTCGACACAAGGATATCGTGGAGGAGCTTAAACGCTCTCACTTTCACCGTCTTCAGAACATCCCGACGCTCGGTATGGATTTACACTGTTTCGTAGATGACCTAGACTTCTGATTTTAAAGATTCGAGGGCAGGGTAAGGTTTGATTGTGTTAAATGCCCCTCCTCGACTACAATGGTTTTGCGGGAGGATTTCTACAATATCAAAACTCGACTGCCACTCACGTAAGCGAACACCGACATTCTAACGGGGATGCAGTTCGTTACAGATATAAACCTACCACTGCCGAGTTTGAGGTACCTTCGTCTCCATGCAGTGTGTCGACAAATCGCGCATTGGTCCGGAGCTGCAGAATGCCTGGACACCATTATCTGTGACATGGAGGAGCTACCGGTTCTTGCGTAGGACCAGATGTCTGCGGATGTCCTTCTATATGCTTTTCAGCGTCTTGTGCCTCTCAGGATATCTCATCTATCTGGAAACTTTGCGTGGTGGAGTTGATCTCTGCCCAGGAATACACATCCTGAGTTTGCTACGTACGGCTGGAGACAAGTTAGACGTCCTGCTCGTTCTAGCGTTTGTGAATACGTCCTTTTAGGTCGCTATAAATGGACTCCCCAGTACTTCTGAATCCTTTCCCAAGGATTGACAAGGGCTGTCGAGTCTTGGAACGATTCGATAGGGGTTGATGCGTTTCCTTGTCCGCTGATACTCGCTTTAGCTGCGAGGGTCGTGTTGATGCTCAGACAGTGACACGTGTATACTGTATAGTTTTCTCTTCAGTTGGTGCACCAATTAGTTTGGATAAACAATCGGGCTCCTCAATTTGAAGTGCTATCCCATTTTGGAGGAGCCGTAGATGACGACATTCTATAGGAAATTCATTTCAGCGATTTCTGTACCCAAATGCGGGTGACTCGAGTTTGTCTGGGCTCGACAGGGTGAAGGACGAACGCTGGCACGTGGAGGCAGGTTTCCTCAATATTTCCTGCTACAATTCATCGATTAGACGATGAACCGACTTGCTCATGGTAGGCTGTCCTACTTCCTCTGATGCAAGCCTCATTTTTTTGTTACCATGATCATCACCACAGATACCTCAGCGAGCGTATGACTTGAGGCGGTTTGTCCAGCCCTATATAAGGCTTCAAGTTGTTGTGCGCTGAGCATTACCTCGATTGATCCCTCTCCATGAGTTCAGTCCAAGATACTCTCAAGAGTCTAGAAGTTGAGCTTTCCCAGCTCAATGATCGACAGGAAAAGATTGTTGTCATACAGGCTCAGCTTGATGCTCGTGCACGGCAGTCAACACGCGCCATCCTGCTTTGTCCCTCTAGCAGCAACATTTCCGATCCTATATCTGACAATTTGGACGCGCTCTCACTGGGAATCAGTCAGCTGATCAGGAAACACGGGCTCGAGGACATCTTCAAGATTTTTATGCTTGAGACGATGCGGCGCGAGGCACTGCTCTACGATGCATCTCTAGACAAGTCCCCTTGCGCAAATGTGGATGCTACTGCTAAGATTACCTGTTTAAATGAAGGTGTAATGCGATGCGGTGGTTGCAAAATTGCACCGTACTGTTCCAAGGTGCGTTCACATTCGACGATTGTGTTCATCTTCCTCATCGTTTTAATAGGAATGTCAGAAGAAGCATTGGCAGATGCATAAAAAAGGTGGAATGAAAACTATTGACTCTGGACTCATACTCACTCATTTATATACAAACCCATATATTCATAGCGTGCAAGAACCCAATTCGAGACTCCGAATGGACACCATCATGGATAATTGAAAGACGTATGCCGGACTTCATAGCTCCGAGATCTCAAGAACTATTTGGGTATGACGGTATGTATGGACATATAATGCAAAGCATGAGCATGTAAGTAAGTCCCTTACACTGAACCTCGGTCTGAATTCAAAGGAGTTCATTTAGATGGGGAAACATGCCTGCGATTGATCTCGTAAATATGCGTCCGAGTGAGCGGATTGTTCAGGATGATATGACTATCGCGTTCATAGGTATGTACCGTACCAGATTTTCCTAATTACGCTGCAAAATGACAAATCGACAAAAAGCGTCTGGTGATCTTCGAGATGTCATTCGCACTGTAAACGAGCTTCCGAAAGACTACACTGGGGAACTCACAGTGCTATTGAACGATCATAATCCAATGATCGTTGCACGAAATTTCGCACTCTTGCTACTCTTAGGCTCGATCGAGAATAAACGCAAGGCCGCAGACATTGCCGTCCATTATTGGTACTCTGCTCTTGTTCCTGCAATGTATAATGTGCACCTACAACAAATGATCCAAGATGTCCTGTCTTCTTCTGGTGCATCTTCTGTCGGTGCTAATGGTTCAATATCTTGTGTCATGACCCCAAAATCACGCATCGAAGGTTGTTTAGGGACAACTACCATAACCATCCTCAAGCAATGTGTCTTTTCTCCGGAGTCATATCAGGCGCAGGATGTCCGGGAGGAACTCACTCGTGCTCGGTATCTTATAGCACCTTATACTCGTTTTATTGCTGATATATTTTTCACAGCCTCGTCAACTTGAGTAGAGACAGGCTTGAGCGTCAGTATTGGCCCCTCGAGCCTTCTCACCGCCTGGCATTTATTGAGTTCCGCACATATGGGTTGCTTCTCCCATTTGGCGCCGCCAACTCTCACTTTGACTATCCCAATCGTTTGTTATTTTCACCCGACGGCCAGTGGATGCAAGCTGATAAGGTCAACCCGCTGAATGGCTGGCAGTACGTCCTATCACTATATTCATACATATATATATCTGCAATGTCAAATTGCGTTTTTTTAAAGTATTCCGTCCCTGGTCAAGGCGGGAAGAAAGCATGGTGCTCTCCCCATGGATATCTACGGGTGTATGTATTTCTACGTCTCAGACCAGCTCAGGGAGTTCGCCAGTCGCCTCTCTAGCCTTCGCATAAGGTTCAAACTATTCAACTTGGATGCTTGCAAACTTGGCAATGATCTGTCCTCAGGAGTACTATCCCCGTATGGGCTGTCCGACCAAATACGATTCGACAGGATTGACGCTTCAAATGTGATGGATCCTCATTACCTAGGCATTGAGCCTGTGGCGAAGGTATGGGGACCTTTACTCAAACATACCAACCATGCGACTCTCGTAGGTCACTTCATCAACTGGGTATCTCGTCAGCGTAACGCAAATCCTTCGGACGCTGACATACCACGACTTATGAGACGGCTCGTAAGTGACAATCGGGTATGTCATCAGCACATGTAGCTATAGACATAAAATATGACTACTAAATAGATCAAAATGTCCCCACCAAGCAGCTCGCCCAGGGTTGGTCGTGGTGCGTGGAAATCCATAAGCATGTACCTCGCTTATGTGGCTGATCTTGGATCGAAGAATTGACGGAAATTTGCGCTCAATTGAGCTGCAATGCCGTCCATGACAATTCGAAGGCCTTCGACGATTATTTAGACAGCCAGGGCATTGACTATGTGCTCAGCACCTCTGGGCTCAAGCGCAAGCGTAAACATACTATCGTGCCACACGTAAGCCCCCAACGTAATTCTCGATGTAGCATATAATAACAACGTCCTACTCGTACTGTACAGCGGCTAGGGGGTTCTTTCGAGTCGCCCAGTGCCCTCCCGACCTTCTCTGACGACAAAAACTGGTACTTAAGTGTAAGGCGTTGCTAATGATGAAATGTTTTTCCCTGCTGACCTTTTCGTTTAGATGTATATAAAAGATCATCTTTGGTCAGAACGTTACCTGGAGCTGGCACCGGCGTGAGGCCTCCTGTTGCATGTCTAATTCAGTGGAAGGTCAGAGCCCGGAGTGTTTATAATGATATTCACAAAGAAGAATACTCTCACGGGATCTAAAAATACTGTCTGTCGTCTATAAACAAAGAATGTTTGAATATCGGGCCATGATCAGTGATGTATATGAGAGGGATCGAGCCTACAAAACTGAACAAGGTTGTGTCGGAGGAATAGATACTGATAGGTTACAGATGAAATTTGCTGCAGTTAGAACGATGAGGGTTGGACCACGATGAGATGAACTCTCAGGAGAACAGCCATAAAGGCTATTCGTGAAATCGCTTCCCTAGGCGGTATGCTCACACCGGATAGTCAAAATCAGGTTGCAGGCGCATTAGTACTAGTAATCCTATGATCGCTTCTGTCTTCGACACGTCTGGGCACGAGGCCACTTCGTTTCAGGTAATGGCGACCGCCACCATCAGGCGATGGTCGTCAAATGGTCCGTCGTGTCGAATATCGATACAGGAACGACGACGAGTGCTTACCCTTATAGTATACATAACGTCTTCTCCTCTGACATACCCGACACTGCAATCATCCTCGACCTAATTCCACTTATACCGTGACATGTTTGGGACACTCAATTTTCGATTTGCTTGTTTGTCTCGGATGGGGCGGGCGTCCTCCGCATTGAACAGCATACACAATTGGGGGCGACAATCGTATCTGTATGTTTCAAGGGGAGGCAATTCAGCTTATACGCACTCCAAGATTGATGTGGTTGTTGAGAGAGAGCTTGCGGACGTTACATATATTTCTCGAAATAACTTGTTGCTGACATAAGCACACTGGGTCTCGGGCGACTCAGGCCCGAACGCTTTCCCCTCCTCCTCGGGCATGGGGGTCCCTAGAATGAGCAGGGCAACTTGTAGTGTCTACGGGTATGGCTGCTCGTATAAAGGCAAGGCAGATTCCCCGCGTCCATTAAAGCAGTAAAGCAACATTCAAGTTGTACAGCCGCAAAACCTCGCGAGGTGAGTAACGTCTCCTCAGGTATTCTGCACTATGCTCATGCATCGCCTAGCCGAACACCATGATCTCAGAACTGCCCCAAGAAGTGTATGACCTGGTCATTGACCATCTCTGGGACGATAAAGTGTCTCTCGCGGCATGCAGCTTGACCTGTCGCGCTTGGCTGCCTTCTAGTCGGACGCACATCTTCCGCGACATCCACCTGAAAAGCCCATCAGCATGTTTCCGATTCAAGAACCTGCTAGAGACGTCGACCATTGCACCGCTCGTCCGTAAGATGGCGGTCCAGGCCTATCATTTCTTACACAAACATCCTGCTCTCCGGGACGAAGATACCATGTGGGAAAGCCGTATCCCAACGTTGTTGAGCCTCTTGCCTGGGCTCATCGAGCTTGAAATTGCGTGCTTGAGCTGGAGTACGCTGCGCCTCACAGCCGCCAAGGAAAGTGCATTCCTCAGTAGGCTTGCCCATCTCAAGCACCTCACACTATCGGATGTCCATTTCGAGACTCCTGCACAGGTCCTTTCCGTTCTCTTGGCCGCACCCGGCCTGGAAACGTTGCGCTTCGACCGTGTCTACTGCAACAGTTCGTTGCCTTGTGTTTCTTTAGAATCTCTCGTCTGTCGTATTCCTAAAGCGTGTACACCGCCGCCGCCACCATCGTCATACGCGCCCATATTCCCCATGTCCAATGCGGGTGGACAAGCACTGCGAAATCTCACGCTGCGACCGGCTTCTCCACCTAATTTCGTCATCGATTGGCTGCTAGCGACAGGCGAGGTCAAGCTCCGCAACCTAAATGTTCACTGGCGAGACCGGAGGAATACGACCGCGTTGTGCGCTCTCTTATCCGCGGCGGGACCCTACCTCGAACATCTATACATGGAACTCACAAATGGCGTGGCCGTGCAGGTGCAGGACGAGATGAACTTCGGGCTCCTCACCGCACTGCGTTCCGTGTGTTTCGAGGGCTTCGTTTTGCCGGATTGCGGCACCTGCTTTTCGGCAATGATTTCGCAGCTCAGCTCACCGTTCCTCAAGCGCGTGAAGATTTCTCTCCTCGCGCGATGGGCAGACGACCTGCGCACACTGGATTGGAAGCAGCTGGACACGGCGCTGTCGCGCGAACGCTTTGCTGGCGTGGAAGTGACGCTGCATGTTAACATCGCTATGTCTCGTGCGAACAAGGGCGTCGATGCGCGTGCGCTTGTGGAGCTCTCGTTGCCCAGGTTCCAGAAGTTGGGGATTTTGCAGGTTAGGTGTACCTGAGAGCCCCGCGACCGCCAGTAGGACTTTACCTTTCCCAATTGGGGCTGCGCGTATGGGTCTTAGCAGCAGCAGGTGGATAATATCGACCCCAACGAGGTTCGGGACTCGCGCCTCATGTGTTTATGCCATGAATCATTTATCGAATCCGAACATCCTGCCCTGAGATTCGTGCCACTGTATCTTCATTCACAAACATGTGGTGTCTAACGCCTGCACGCGATGATACAGACGTCGCTGTTGAGATGCTATTTCAGTCGTGATCAGGATACGAGTTTCGCTGTTCCATTGAAGCGCGAGGTGAGGAAAATACTGCGAGTAGGAAGATAGGGCACGTTGACAGTGTTGGGACCTACATTGGCGACCCCTCCCGCAGTGTTAATAGATGGTGTAGTACTACAGACACAGTGTTGACGTTATCACTTACACTCGACAGGAGGGTTGCATGTAGCGTATCTCCACTGCTTTACCTCACCTCTCGAATATTTACATATTCTGTGCCATTGTAGTATGATTCTACCTACAAGGAAGCAGCTAGCAGAGCTGAAATTGAAACTTCAAGATGATTGACTGCACAGGCGCCGACCGGCCCCTTCACTACAATTTAAAGCTTCAAGAGCGGGCCCAGAGGCTCGTTCGCTGCGAATGGGCTCAATATTTAGATTTGTTTGCTATATGTATTGTTTAGAACGACTAGAAGTACTATATAACTATATGCACCAAGGCGACATAAAAAGGCCGGAAAATACAAAACGAAGCACCCTATACATATAGTTATGACTTCGGACTCTGACAACCTGTAAGCTCAGTCTATATCCACGCACATGCGATAGGAAATTAGAGCCGTTTCCAGCCCTCGCCCTCACCAACGGGCCACTTGAGATCATCCCGCTCGACGCCCATCCGCCGATATCCGCCATCGAGCGAGCGCGTACTTCTATCCTCAATATCCTCGAGCCTCAGCTTCCTCAGCCGATCATTCTGCTCCCGTTCTCCCTCGCTCTCCTCGTCAACGTCTGGCCCCGCGCTACCTGAGTCGTCTCTACCAACGCCATACTCGTCGTCCTCGTCCTCCATGAGTCGCTCCTCGCCCTCGTGCCGCATCCATCGCGTCCCGGGCACGAACCCGCGCGGGTTCAACGCAGCCTCCGCCTTGTACCGCGCCGAGTCAAAGCGTGGCTGTGCCCGCTGGTGCAGCCCGGCCAGCGTCTTTTGCAGGCTCGCAATCGGCTCCGACACGGCCGACCCGTCGCTCCGCTGTGTACGCCCCGAGAGCGTCGACGACAGGGAGTGGTGCCGCGAGAGGGGCGGCTGCACCGCACCCGACGGGAAGCTTGGCCGTGACGGCGACGCGAATGGTGAGCCCCCCGGCCCTGACCCTGCAGTCGCTGTCGTCGTGGTCGGACTCAGCTGCACGCTCTCTGGACGTCGCTTCCGCATCGGCGGGATCGGCGGCGGTGAGGGGTGGTGCATCGACTTAGACCGGAACACCCGCGGCGAGTCTGGCGGCTGTGAGGGCACGCGCTCCATGTCGAAACCGGTCGAGTACGCCTTGCGGTCAGGATGCATGGGTGGCGGCTCCGTCGGCAGATCCGTTAGCGACCGCGGCGGCGTGCGCGTGGGCGAGCGGTTGTCTTCACTCATTGCCGGCGTCGCCGAGTACGGGACACTGGGAGGGGGCTTGAACGACACCGACGCGCGAGCAACGGACTCGAGTGAGCGCGCGGTCATCGCGGAGACCGTCGACGCTGGGGGGCTCACTTTCTTACGGGGAGGTAGCACGGGCACGCGGGTGGCCTCCGCCCTCTCCACTGAGCTGGATACGGAGGGTGTCTTGGACGAATGATATCCGTCCTGTATCGGGCTGATGCTGCGTGTGCGTCGCGTATTATTCGAGTTACTGCTACTGCTCTTCAGCACCTCGAGTACCCGCTCTTGCTGGAGGCGCTGCTCTGCTTTCTTGAGACTTTGTGCCACGCGCGCCGCTTGCAACGATTGCTGAACGAGAACGTGCGGCTTGGTTGATGGCGTCGACACCGAGATGGTATGATACGACAAATGTTGGGATGAGTGACGGGGAGGAGGAGCGGGAGGAATCACAGGCTTGCGTGGCGGTAATGGAGGCGACTTGCTGTCTGTGGGTGCAGCGGCACGCGGCCGGACATTCACAGTAGAAGGCATTACCCGTTCTGGGACTGCAGACGCTCGATGATCATCCTCAGATCCCCGTCGAGCGCGAAATGGGTTGGTAGGAGGTTTGGGAGGTACAGCTGGCGGAAGATTAGAAAGGGGTACGGATATAGCTGTTATTGGAGGAGCTCGTTCAGAATGCGTTTGGAAGAAGGGGTTGGCATCCGGCGATGGCGGGTCGGAGGTGAGTTCGGAGATGAGGGGTTGAGTGGAAATGCTGGGAAGAGAAGCTTGTCGAAGGGGATGCTGAAGCTCAGAAGATAGGTCATCTGGGTGAGCTATAAAACACAGAGATGAGACATTATATTCAAATGGAGGAGCCGTATCATGAAGAAAGCAGTCTCAGGCGCCGTCAACATGCTGCAATTGCTATGAACGAAGCCCATAGCTCGCTGGCGGATGCATCAACTAAGGCCTTCGCTTAAAGCTTCGGGATCCTCGGGTGCATCGCTATAGGCATGTATGGGTACAGAACGCACTCGACCCCGGCATGAACAAAACCTCATTCGAGGCTTTGCCACTGCCACAAGCGGCTTGGTATGACAACACAGACATCGCTTTTGCTAGCCTGCGTAGAATTGACGGTCCGCCATTATGATACAACTGTTATTCGACACGCAAAGCAGAATGCTAGTCAGGTACGGAAGAGCGTTGAATGGTGCTCTCCATAAAGCTGGAAACACGGACGAACATGCGCAACAGACAAACTCATATGCTGACCTTGAACAAAAATGAGCCCCTTGTCTACGTCTTTTCCCTCCAGCGCATGGTAGACAAGGCGGAGAACAGCAAACACTTGGCCGCTGGTCAGGATGTCGGTCGGGGCAAGGCTAGGACAAAACAAACGAAGTATCTGCACGCCAGTGAGATCAAAATGACAAGACAAGCCCAGTCGAAACACGTACCGAGTCGATTACCCCGGGCACGAGGGTCGAATATCTCCCCCTAAGCCATGCTCTGGCCTCGCGGACGCCGACTTTGAAGTCCTGTTCGGTATGTGGCTCTCCGTCTTCCGCGAGATCTCGAAGAGAGGAAGTGTAAACGGCGTATTCTGCATCGTTGAGGGCGGAAGAGTGGAGGACGAGCGGGCGCATGGTGTGGGTGAGGACAGCCTCAAGGACGGCGACCATCTGCGGACTCGCAGAGGATACGCGCCCGACGCGTGCAGCCAGGTCACGCCTCCGACGCGACTGCCGCGCGGCGCGTCCGGCCATCGTTTATGTCATCATCGACAGTCATCTCTCTCGACCGAATACTTGTACTAGTTGTGGGTGTTGTTTTCTACACTACTCGTCGGGAGAAGTCCTCGATCCTGACTGCATCCTCGAGCTTGGGTCGCGGCGTAGTGAGGTGGTGAATTAGATCCAGGTGATGAATCCAGATGGGTTTAACTGAAGTCTTAGAAGAGACACGGCGAAAAGTCCATTCGTGCTGCTTATGCTAGTATGTCAATATTCTTTCTTAGCGGTGTGACGATCCATGAGGCCTTGAGTCTTGTGGCTCTTGGGTCTGCTGAGTAGCTCAAGTTTTTCGTCAGAAGGGTAATTTTACTACTCCAGCTCAAATTTTTGAATCGTTGGTATACGCACTCTTTTCATCAACATGACTTATTGCGACACGTTGTCGATGTCGGACGAGGATATGTAGGGCGAGGATACAGCAGCTGCGGAGAAGCTCTAAGTATGTTTTGTGTGGGTTCGTGCACCAGATTTTGGGTAGCGAGGTGAACTCTTCCACTCTATTACCAGATATGACATTTAATCATGTCCTTTACATCCCAGTAGATGTATGTGTGACGCTCGAGCCATTGTTCCTCGCTCCTCTGTGAGATGCTGGCATATCGTGATACTACAGTACGCCGACAGCCAGCTATTTGGTGCCGCATAGATCGATGCCCCACTTCGTGCGCACGTACATGTAACATTCGTTCCCCGCTCTCAGAGCTGAGCATTGAACAGCTGACGTTGGTTCCGGAATCTGTGCACATACAGGCAATTTCACCAAGTCGATCATTCCGCCTCCATTGGTTGGACTGTTCAACTACCCAGTCGTGGAGCAGACCGCGTGGCGCAAGCTGTGGCACGATACTACTCCATGACACGTATCAGGTCAAGGTATCGATTCGCCTCTCGTGCCAATTCATTTTCGTTTGGATCCCGCAGGCGAGCATAGTGTTATCCACAGATTAGATTCGGAGCCGGTGGTTTCGAACGTCTTTGAAAATGCGCGGAACTGGAAATGCTTCGGCTGTCTCAGCATCCATGACGTCTGCCATACTTCCATCACGCCAACTTAGAATTCCGTCCTCGACTCGGGTCTGACACACGGTAGGACGATACACCCAGAAATCCTTCCAGACTCCATTCATTCGTGTCGGCTCAATTTGGACCACTCTACCATTCCCGCGTGGATGCTCAATTCACGGATCAAAGCGCACGCGTGTATTCGCTCAACACATTCTCGCAGGGAGATATGATAAGATTATACGAAGGAGATATTGTTGCCGCTTTGAATTGAAAAAAGGACCATTGCTGGGATGTAGCAGTCCAATCGCGAATCCACATCACAACAAAGAAATCACCAATTCTATGCAATGGAAAGGTGTCGACTGAATTGAGTAAGCTTTACCTCTCTTGCAAATGGATCTTCTCACTAAGGGGAAGGTGTCATTTCTTGGTTGCGCATGCTGTTATTGTTATCTTGGCCAGAGATTGACGCACGCAGTCATCTGGATTAGGCTTTGTAAGCTAATGCCCCCAAACGATAGAACCACTCAGAATGTACTTATGCGATAAAGATCGTACTTTGGATCCGAACCAATACACGTGCCCGAGCTGGTAAGCATGTAATGATTTTGAATCTAGGAAGGGGATTTCCGAGTGATGTGCATTGAAGGCCATATCAATAATTCGTCTCAATGCAGGGCTAGCTGCTAGATTCACAATTTGGAGTTTTCTCATTCGCGCAGGCCGCGAGACTGTATGTATCAGTCTAGACTTCTCGCTCAGGCCGTTAAATAACACACCCTCCATCGCCACTTGTCCTCTTCATACGCGCTGCAGCCTTCGCTGCTGGCGCTCAATTCCACTACGGAGAGTTTATTTATTCGAATTTCCAGGTGCAATTTGGCTATGGGAGTTGGGTGGCAGCCCTGCATTTGAAGCGCCGACAACTCACCAAATCGTGCGTCCTTGACATGTGCAGAGAAAACGACGCAGGCGTCGGCGATGGGCGAGAGCTTGACCGCGTCTAATGAACACGAGGCAACTACTTGTACTTTGATGAGTCTCTTGATTTCCCCTTCTGCCCAGTTTTGAACGTCCCCGTCTCTTTTACTTGCCGCGTAGCTGAAATCGGCGATCTGAGGTCGGTCTCTCGTGCATTTGTCATACCAAACTTCGCCATACTCAATGATAGAAATCGATCGAGCTCAAGACTGTATGTCCCTGGGCCTATTGAAAGCTGCATGAGACGTGGGGTCTATGGCCCCTTCCAGAATAACAGGGATCGTGACGATTGAAAATGTCCACTTTCAGAACAGAGCTGCGCTGCTTGAGGACCATGATGTAGAACCATTATACTGTGTCATTCCGGAGCCCGAAATATCTAATACTGAATTGGTGGGTATGTTTTTCCAAGTATCATAGCAGAAATTCTCATACCCATTCTTGTATTGTGACACAGTGGGAGCTCATTTACGCTGTCCCCAATCGGTATCAGATTAGGAATATCAAGCACAAGCACTATGCTGTTCCTCGACATCAACGTGATGGCGTAGTTGGATCAAGCAGCAAGCAATGGTGGTTCATTGATGCTGCCGATGATGAAGATGGAGATGTTTACACGTGTGTCATTTTTCTGTCGATAACCACACATGGCTGGTGACTAAATGAATTGTTCAGTATACGGCATCTTGAGAAAACCGATCTATGCTGGTTTCTTGGCGATGGGTCCAACAATACGCCAGTAAGACAACGCATATTAACCATATGCTATTTCCTCGAGGCCGACTGTCATATTCATTGTTACTAGATTTATCTCAAAGATACTCCAAAAGATCGTCGATGTATATGGAAAGTAGGCATTCACATCTTCTCTGGCATTGCTAAGTTCATATGTTTTTGATAGATCACTCCATATTCCTATACCAATGCCAGGATTAATCCACCCGCGAATTCTTTGCATCCAGATTGGTCAACTGAGCTATTGGCAAGATTCAGTTCAATGGTTGACGTGTATACAGAGGTATGTGTTTTGGGTGTGTTAATTCAAAATTCTCACAGCTCCAATCAGGCTCATCCTGCTGTGACGGGAGCTGTAGCGCTGAAAATCCTCAAGTGTGCATCTGAGGTACTCTATTCGCATATATATGTTCTCCACACAGATTGATTCATGAAGCTGTCAACTAGATCATGACTGAGCACGTCAAGAATAGCAATGAACGGCTTGATCTTGATGTATCTGAGAAGATCATACACACCTACTCGCAGATGTGCGAGAATGAAGAATTGCCTGTGGATCCTGCGATAGAAGCTGACTTGGAAACGCTTACCCAAGAGATGCTAGAGCGCGCGGATTTCATCGCTCATCCAGAGAAGATGGAATGTCGTAAGTTCGTGCCCCATTCTCGACGCCATGGCCGCCTCTCCAACCCCCTGCGCCCGCCGCCCACTGTGGCTTCCTCTGTCCTTGATAAGCAAGATCATAGGCCGCGCCTGATACAGACTCAGTCATTCAAGCTTGATCCTGAGCCGCCGAGGATCCGGTCCAACTTCCCGGTCACGTACTGGGCCGACATGCATATTAGGACTTCGGGGCTGAAGAATCTGGGTAACACGTGCTATATGAATTCGACGATTCAGTGCTTGAGCGCTACCGTGCCGTTCGCGCGGTTCTTTACTGGTGCGTGTGTAACCAACGAATTGATGTCATAGTGCCTAAGTATGTTTGTTACAGAAGGACGATGGAAGAGTGCTATCAACATGATCAACCCAATGGGAACAAAGGGGAACCTTGCGCAAGCTTTCGCCAATATTCTCCAAGATTTACAGCAGAGCGAGTCGCAGTGTCTGTCTCCGGGCGCATTCCGTGTACGCATTCAACGAGTTCCCGTAATGCTGAGCTGACTATCTGTGTAGAGGTCATTGTGCCGGCACGCCCCTCAATTTGACGGAACAGAGCAGCACGATTCACAGGAGTTCCTTCACTTCCTGCTCGATGGTCTGCATGAGGACCTCAATCGGGTGCTAGTGCGCGCACAAATAGACCCAACGCCCGAAAGAGAAGCCGAGTTAGAGAGACTACCCACGCAGATTGCCAGCGAGCAGGAATGGCAGATCTGGCAGAGGCGGAATGATAGCTTGGTCGTAGACTTCTTCCAGGGTCAGCTCCGCAACCGACTGGAGTGCCTCACGTGCCACAAGGTATGGTCCTTTCTATCTGTGCTCTTCACTTATCCCTTGGTTGATCTGCTACTACAGACTTCGACCACTTACAACACGTTCATGTACCTCACTTTACCTGTTCCCACCCGTCGAGGTCTATCCAAAGTGTCATTGTCTCAGTGTTTGGATGCCTTCGTCAAGGAAGAAGTGATGGAGGAGTCGGATGCATGGTATGCTGGGTCTCCGTTCGACTCAGGATAGGCGTATTGACACATTGAGATTAATAGGAACTGCCCACACTGCAAGACGCTGCGCAAGGCGACGAAGAATCTGTCGCTATCACGATTGCCCCCCGTGCTTCTGATCTACCTGAAGCGTTTCTCGTCCAAGGGCCACTTCACAGACAAGATCGAGACGTTCGTCGACTATCCCGTGCGGGATTTAGATCTCACCAACTACATGCCCCTTCCGCTGCCTCCCGGCGTGGACGGGGGCCCTCACATGCCGAGAGATGATCCTGGCGTGCAGATACCACCGTACCGATATGATTTGTATGGCGTCACCAACCACTACGGCACGTTGAGCAGCGGGCACTGTAAGTGTTTTGTCGAGGATCGGCTATCTGCGCTGTGTTGATCGACTGTCAGATACCGCATTCGTCTCGTCTCGTGGCGAATGGCTGTCTTGCGACGATAGCCATATATCACACG